GCACTCAGACTCTGGGTACTTTAGAGTGCAGTTCACCCTGTGAGCATATATCAAAAAGATAATAGTGCTTTGATTTATGCTATCTTAGATGATGCAATATACAATAAAATGTTCCGTCTTTTGTTCTTGTTTTCATTTAAAGTCTTCAGGTTCTGATTTATACCAGCAATTCATCCACTTACAGACCTGTGATATATTTTCTGGATACACATCCTGAGAATCAGTCGAATCCACTCATCAGTGTATTTAAACGGAAGGAGAACAGGGGCCAAAATCATCCTCGGATAATGGGAAACCACATCTTCTCCAGATATTAAAACATGGATGGACTCTATGTTAGAAATTGTATCGTATGAATGCATGTGAGCAAGAGTTAATGATGAAAATGAGAACTTTAAGAGGTCATGGGACCACGTTTTTGCTCCTGCCGTTGCTGGGACACAGTGATGAACAGGTGGTGTTGCTATGGGGGTGTATGTTTTGGTTATTGTGGATATGAGCATTTGTCAAGGGTCTTTTGAATGGCATGTAACTAGAGGTGGTAATACTGGCTGTTTAATACTGTCTATGTCTTTAAATACATTTCACTAACAAAGACCAAGCAGTTTATTTGGATTGGCGATGGGATTCTGGTGGGATCGTGTACAGAAGGATGATGGGGGTCGTATATGGGGAGAGTCCATTGCATTGGGATGAATTGACGCCCATTATATGTCATGATGTGGCAAAAGCAGCTAGCAACCCGAAGGTGGAGACTCAGGGTGGGGATCTTGATGAGCTCATGGCTTCAGTGTCCCCTGTGGTTGCGGTAATAGAAAAGGAAAAAGATGGAAGTGTAAATCCGAACACGCAGGTCTCGGTGGTGGGAGGAGAAAACCGGAGAACCCCGGCAGAGACTCACACTAACATGGGGAGATCCTGTAAACTCCACACAGAAAGGACATCCAAGGTTCAAACTCAGGATGTTTTTGCTGTGAGGCCTCAGTACTAACCATAAACACTTGAATTATAAAGAGAATAAGACATGTTCTTACTGAAAATCTGCAGACTAAAAAGGTTGAAAATAAAGTTCCCAGCAGTAATATGTTCATTTTTGTAAACAAGGGGCCATTAGAATATAGGACAAATAGCAACCCTTTATCCATTGTACCGTGGTAGTTCCACTTTATTCAGCACAATGCTCTGGATGCAGCGGCCTAGAGAATTAAAATGCTAAATGCTGAATTTTCTGCTGTTTCAGCCTGATGGGACTGTGTGGAGGAGACTGCACGGCTTCCTGCATCCATCACGCTGTGTGTTTCCACTGCAGCCTGATGGTTGGGGTGTTTGGTTCTGAGCTGTTATCGTGTCTCGTCGGGATAAATGTGGAGCAATATGAGAGCGTTAATGCGCTCCTGAGAGTCCGCTGCAGTCAGGTGCATCCAGGCCTTGGTTTGCTCCGAATGAACCAGTTTGTGCAGCGTGTTGTCGACCACATCGGTGTTCCTATAGCTGTTCCAAATAGCAGAGGTCAGACCAAGTCATTGTTATAGTCACAAGTAAGAGACAAGTCTTTGAACTCAAGTCCTAAACTTTGAGTTTCGAGTCCTAAACAAGTCATAATGAAATCTTCAATAATACATTATACACTAAAGAGGCCATATTATAAATAGGTTTACATGCTTTAGAGGTCCAGTGTGTGACATCTATTGTCAGAAAATGGAATAAAATATTACCCGAAAATAAGAATCGTTGTGTTTTTGTTACCTCAGAATGAGCTGTTTTTATCTCTAGAGGAAGCGGGTCCTCTTCTTCAAGTCTCACAGCCATCATAGTTTCTGCTAAACACTCTAGATGCTACTGAATCCTGCACACTGGACCCTTAATGTTCAAAAAACTATTTTTTTATATATATATAATATATTTTATATTTTTCTGATGCTGTACATTACACCTTCTTTAGTAGCTAACGTAACATTATTTCTTCATGGTTTTGTCGCGTTGGTTAAAGAAAATTGCAATTTCGTTTTCATTTCAACTTAATATTGCTGGCATAAATGGAAAATCTGATTACATTGTTTATATAACATTTTCATGTTTAAATTTGAATTAACATTTGAATATAGTCCACTGCACAGCTGGGTACAACTTTAAAAAATAGCTTTTCCATTTTCATTTTAATATGGTCACAGTGTCAGACATAAAGTATGTGAAAAATAAAAATGCATTTTGAATAATTGCTTTTTTATCATTTGAATAAAGTCCCCTATAGGCTTCCATACTATACAGCTATAAACCTTTCAGTTTTCCTAAAGAATCAGACACAAACACTTTACTGGCATCAAGAAGGGACTAATTGAAACTAGAGAGAAACTACAGTGGCTGTGAAATACGCAAGCTTTCAATCTAGAGCAGGTGTTTGGTTTGTCCGTTCAGGGCTACTGTAGGAACATGGTGGACTCATGGTGTAGAACAGGACCTCTGTGGATAAAAACAGCTCATTCAGAGGAAACAAAAACATAATGATTCTTACTTTCAGGTGATTAAACACTAATTAAAACATACCTATGAATATTATATTCAATTTCTGACAATAGATCCTCCTAATATGGGTCTTTACAGCATGTAAACCTGCTCTAGTAGCCTCGCTTTGGAGCATAATATCGACTCTTTAATATATAATTTGTTAAAAAGGTATTGCATTTAGTTAAGAGTGCATTATGACTTGTTTATTTAAACTTTAAACAAAGTACTGCTGGGAAATTCAAGATTCTTGTTAGAAATATGAATAGAATTGTTGCTGTATGCAAGAAATAGAGTAAATACCTTTCTTGGGGAGTAATTATATTTTTTAAATAGAGACTAACGTGTAGTTTGGTGCATTTTTTTCCTCCAGTAAAGCAACGTCAGTGACACGATTTTTGCTGCAGCTGCACCAAGACTGTGGATTAAATCAGATTACCTCCTAACCCTGTTTTTGTGTGTCGGTGTACAAAGGTTTCTTCTTTTAAAGTCACATGTAAATAAAGTTCCCTGCACTTAGGTATCTCTTGGTATGAAGAGATCAGAGAGCAGCTGGGTTGGCAGACATCGGTGTGCTGTATGGAGTTTACTGATTGACGTTTTATGGCTTTATGGGAACTTTGGATCAGAATTTTTCAGCCTGTCGCCTCTCGCTGACATTTCGGGCTGACAGTATGCAGAGTTATCACATCTGCTCCCCTCTGGGAAGCGTTCAAGGTGCCTTGGTGTAGGTTAAACTGCTGTAGAATGAATTTATTTCAGCCAGTAATGAACACTGGGACCTGCTGTATACTGTACTGTCTGTTGTCTAATCTGTTAAAATGAAATATCTCAACGAAAACCCTGAAATATTCTGGTGTACAAATGAGAATCAGCTGGAAAGGTTTAGTTTCAATGTGTTTAACTTTGTTTCAGAAGCCAGGAAAAGTAGGCAAGATAGATTATTTAATTAGTTTTTATTCAGATTTTTCCAATAATTAATTACTCTGACAATGATTTATGAATTGGACTGACTTTTGCAGATTTTTCTCTCTTGTACAAAATGTTACACTGAATTTATGATGTCTGGAACGCCCATACAGGCTCGGCACATACACTTACTATATGCATCACACAATAATACAAATTTGATTCATTCAGTCACTATTAAAGGGTAACTTCTGTATTTTTTAACCTGGACCTTAAAACGAGCTTCACATCGTCAAAATACTTCCATTAAAGTAGTTGTTTCTGCCACTGACTGGCTCAGATTGTTATTATAAGTGTCTGACAGCATTATGGAAAGGATCCCTACGGTGAAATTAAGAAGTTTTCGGCCCATTTTGCCTGATCTGTTCTGAATGGCCTCATCTGTGGGGAGTAACGAAAATGGCAGAAAATTGCACTGACCGCAGAGAGCACCCACAGGAACACCAGTCGCCTCCTGAGCTGTAAATTCACAGGCTATTTTTGTAATCTTATTAATATTTCTATTTATTTAAAAAATACAGGAAAAATGTGTAGGATATACGGGAAAAAAACCTTAAACTTACAGATCTTTTTTACAGTTTAAGCAACAAGTGTCATTTAAAATAGCATAGATTTAGCCTACTATTTGACTTTAATTAGAACATTTCGGTTTTAATTTTGTTTGCAATAACTGTCCATGAATATTCATTGTTAATGTGCTGCTAAATCTGATTTCTCTGATGTCCACCAGCAGCAGAATTTCTACCTCTTTTTGTTTCAGTTTCAACCAATGTTCTATTATTTAATCCTTTATTTAACAATCCTTAATTACATATTATAAATAAATTGTTTCATGATTGCCACTGGAGATATTAAGAGGAAAAAATTAAAATCACATTTTCAGAATGACATTTCTGACTGAAATTGGAAGAATTGATTGAACAATATGGAAGCTGAAGGGTGAATCCTGGTTTCTGATTGGCCGTTGTAAGTAGGGGTGAGTTGCTTGATAAATCCTATTTGAGCTCTGCACCGGCCAAAACTTCCAGTCCTGAGCCGACAAAGTCTGCAGTTTTTCAGCCTGACCCCGGAAGCCGACAAAGTCTGCAGTTTTTTTTTCAGCCTGACCCCCCCGAGACAAACACCGGATTAAAACCTCTGGTCTGCAAACACACACACACACACACACACACACACACACACACACACACACAAAACAAAACACCCACCACAACACACAACGATGGGGACAATAAAAAGGAGAGAAGTTAAATGAGCCCGAGTCCGACCTGAGCCCGGTCTGTAAATTAAAAAAATGACCCAAGCCTGGCCCGAATTAACTCGGCGTGTTGCAGACCTCTAAATCTTATTCTCACTTTCAGCTAGAACTGCTATTCTCCCAGGTCGGCTTTTAGACCTTCTGTAATTCTGAGAAGTTTATTAAATCCGATTACTTCATTTTCAGATGAACTTAAACCCTCTGCACTCTCACACCTCATGACTCATGCAGATATCAATGATTACACACTCATCCCCTCGTCTCTGTCCAGGCTGTGAGAGTGACTTCTGGGGGCCCCACTGCAGTAACCGCTGTCAGTGCCGGAACGGGGCCAAATGCAACCCGATAACCGGAGCCTGCGTCTGCACCGACGGCTACCAGGGCTGGCGCTGCGAGGAGCCCTGCGACGCCGGCTTCTACGGCAAAGACTGCCTGCAGGAGTGCCAGTGCCTCAACGGCGCCACCTGCCACCATCAGACCGGCGAGTGCCTGTGTGCGCCCGGATACACTGGAGCCTTGTGAGTAGCTTTCTGCTTGTTTATGCTGCTGAATCTGATTTATGTCTGCACTTGTGAACAGTTCTCTGACTTTTGAGTGAGAGATTTTACAAAATTAAAAATAGAGTAGTTGAATTTTTAAGACAAACAGTAATATGCTACAGCTGCTTAATGTAATGACTCATCTCTGTGATACATTATTAAGGTAGACCTAAATCTAAATGACAATTATAACATACATTTTACATTAGTAGGTTTCATTACATGAATCGGAAGGATGTGTTTTTTAAAATGTGCGCGTCATGTGCCAGTGTATCATGTGTGGATCAGATCATAATCACCACACAAGGCTTACTGACTATATATTAGCTTGTCGACGTGTTCAGGGCGGGACTTTTATCAAACATCTGAAGTTTGGTGGAGAAGTTACGACAACTTCCTGTTTCATGGTAAAACGTCAAAACCCGACGCCACGCCAAGGCCATGCTGTTCAAAGTACAGTCATTAATAGCACAGCTTTTAATTGTTAATGTCTTCAGATTGCTCAGACCAAATTTGAAGTCGATCCGATCAACTCCCTCGGAGGAGTTTGAATACAAAGCGAAAAATCGCAGTAAATGGCCACTAAATTGAAAATGGCTTCCTGTTTGGTTCCGGGTATGGGTCCAAGAGGCTTTTTTGTTTGTCTTATCATGATACACATGCGTACCAACGTCGGTCGTACATGCGTGTCTAAGGCATTTAGTACGGGACCAATAAAATATTTCCATTTTTGCTACCACCAAAAGTTTCATGAGTTTTCGAGCATGTTAAAGCCTCAAAAAATGTGATTTGAAGTTTCAAATATGTTGTAATGAACTTAGTAATGTGATTACTCAATTAGTTACAGTAATAGATTACAAATGTAATAATAGAGTTTATCAGCGATTAGATGCTTCACTCACCTGTGTCTTCTGTCTTTCTCCTCCAGCTGCGAGGAGCCTTGTCCTCCAGGTAAACACGGCTCCCTGTGTGAACAACGCTGTCCCTGTCAGAACGGAGGAACCTGCCATCACGTGACCGGACAGTGCTCCTGTCCCGCCGGCTGGGTGGTACGACTGCAACACCAACTCATGTGCATGTTTACCAGAGCTCAGCTAACAGGGAGCTATTAAAGCTGAGAGCAACATGTTTGTGTTTGGAGCTGAGACGGAATATTTAGTACAGATATTTCATTTTACAGTTTTTAGTTCCCAAAGTTTAATCCACGGCAGGAGGCTGTGAAAGCATCCTGAATGACATTTTGTATCATCAAGGGACGCTAATATTTACTTCAAAGCTCACACATAGGAAACTCTCCAGGTAGAAGCAGTTTACTACTACTACTATTTTTTAATTAAATTATTAAAAATTATGGGGCACCCGGATAGCTCAGTGGGTAGAGCTGGTGACCCATGTACTATGGCTGAGTCCTTGCTGCAGCGGCCCAGGGTTCGAATCCGACCTGCGGCCC